TATGGATTTTTGACTGTGTAAGGGGGTCAGCTCACCTAATCCCCATGTTGTTCAAGGGTCAACCGAATTTAGTTTTTAAGTGTGAGGTTGATCAGTTATTTTAGATTTGAATGTGGAGCATAAATGTCACCTAGCCTCACATCAGCAAGATCACATATACAAACTCAGTGACCAGTGGATGTGGGAACTCAGGTGGCCTCTTTTACTCTGAGTACTCTTTACTCCTGATTTTCCTCTTGCTTCCTGGCCACCCCACTCACTGTGTTTTGTTTTGTTTTGTTATTTTGTTTTGTTTTCTGGGTTCCTTCCTGCATTTCCACTCTGCATTTCAATAGCTTTTCTGTTTATCTATCTGCCTCACCAGAGTGATAACTCTTTTAGCAAGCACCACATGTCCTTAGTCTTTTCATTTCTGGCATCCCAGATATTTCCTGAAAGAAGCTAAAAATCAGTGCATGTGTACTGAATTGATCTTTTGTAACGACTCCCAACAAGAAAAGCACCTCCTCCATTTAGAAGTGAGAATTATAGATTTTATATTTGTAGGTATCATACATTTTGTTTGGTGCCAAACATTGTAGGGAACTGGCTCTGCTTTGTTGCCCTGGTGAATTTGCATGTTCCTACTTAGGGCATGTAGGCAAACCTAGACTGCAGGCACCTGACTCTTGGCAGAATACCTTGTGATTCCTCTTGGAGCGGGTGGGGGGTGGTGGTTGTGGGGATAAGCAGCCTGATGAGAAGCTGCTACAAAGTACTTTCTCACCAGCCTCCTTATCTAGCTGGAGGCTGACACAAGGTCAATTTGCATCCATCTCTGATTTCAGTTGGCTGCAGGACATTCCTCCTTGCTCCACCTGAGAGTACAGCTGTGGATTACAGGGTCCACTTAACACCATTTGGGGTACAGCTGTGAACTTCACACTGGCAGAGAGACCCACCGGCCTGTGTTGTCTGTCACTGAACAACTCCCATTCAGTATCAGTCCCTGTATGACTACTGGTGCAGGGAGCTGACACCAAGTTGATACTGCTTTTTCTGTGTCTGTAAGTAATAAACTATTTGAATCCATTTGGGCTTACTGTTTCCTGACTGGTCAAATCTACAGAAGTGTAATAAGCCAAAATAACAGCTGCTGTGGTTAAGCATGTGGTCCTGTTGGCTTCTGCAGTGTTACTTAAGGACCACTTGACAGACTCTGGTGTCGACTTGTGTGGGTTGCATGGCCAGAACATTGACTTTTTTCCTTTGGCACACATAGCAAGGAACACAGTTTTCAGCACATATCGTGACTTAGAGCAGCCTTGTCAGACCTCAGATATTTACAAACCCACTTTAGAATGGATGCCATATCTAACACCAGCTACACTGTTATTTAATCAGTAAATATATTGAAATCAAGTTTCTAAACTCAGATAATTTAAAAAGTTAGCTTTATATCTCTACTTGAAATTCAGAATCAGTACTATTTGCTAGAGGTGTAATTGTGATGGTAAATGAAACAAAAACATTTGAAAGGTTAAATAAAAAAAAGGAAGGAGCCAAATCCATTTGCAATATAATGCCTACTTCATGTTATTTCATTTATTCTTCATAGAAATTATTTAGTGTAAATACTATAATTTCTATTTTAGAAATGAAACAGACCCAGTGGATCTAAATACCTTTCCTGTCATCATATAGTCAGTGTTTGTCAGAACCAGGACTGAAACCCATAGCTATTTCGTGCCATAGTCTATAAGGAGGCAGAATAGGTAGGAACCAAGTTAATTTGCTTCAGCCATTCCCCCTTTCCCTTTTACGTAGGCCTTCATTTTTTAAAAAATCTAACTCCACAACCTAGGGACCTCTCATAAATTTTATAGCAAAGTGTGACACCCTACCTGTAGTCTCATTTTTAATTTGAACCTTCAATTTTCAGTACTTTTTGACTAGGGAGTATTTTTTCATCCTCTATAAAGTGGGGAAACAATTGCTGCTTATAATCCCTTCCCAGTCCCTAAATGAGGTGAATTTTGAGTAGTGCCCTTAGTTACAGAAGCTTTTTTTTTTTGAGTTTGAAGATGCAAATGGGGTGGCTCAGTGATGTAATTCTTGTATTGTGCAGACTAATAGGGGTGTAAGGCTAAAACTAGCCTCTTGGAGATGCTTCTGAGATATGGTGATTGTTAGGTGATGGAGATGTATCTAGAGGGTGAGATTTGTGGCTTTTCCCTCTCTGCCTTTATTTATTTTATTATGTTCAGGTAGCCACTGTATAGTACATTATTATGTACTATTTGATGTAGTGTTCAATGATTCATTAGTTACGTGTAACATCCTCCCTGCCTTTGAGTAACTTTTGAAGAGAAGTCAGAAATTCTGCAGATTTTGTGATCTTTTGCCATGGGTGCTTGTATGATCATCTCATTTTTCTTCATACAAACTATTCCAAATGGCTTTAATATTCTATATTTTTCTATAGCACAGTAATTTATGTTATCAAAATATTTTGTTTCTGTTATCAATGATTTCATTTAGGACACTATATGATGTGTGGGATACATTTGGGGAAAACTTTCCTTCAAGAGAAGAACAAAATCTTTTATGTCAAATAGTGAAAAAATTACTATAAATTTTTATAAAAATATCAGATTACCATGATAGCCATAATGTACACTCTGAGTTTTCCTAGATTCAACATTTTCAGAAGTATTTACTTTGAGGAAGAGCAACATTTTCAGAAATATTTACTTTGAGAAAGAGCAAGGCTTTTTTATTTACTTTGAGAAAGAGCAAGTCTTCTTAGAACTTGAATCTCCAAATCTGCAGCTTACTGGAGTCAGATACAAGTTTTGGGTACACTCTGACCTTTTTTGTGAGATCATCAAATATATAAAATGAGGTCATAAATGCATGAAACATAGGAAAAAGAAGTGGCTTAGTACACACCTTACAAATATGAGTTTTTGTAACTCCTGTTATTATTAAAGAACACAATAAATGGAGTTACTGTCATAACTATATACAGCTCTGGTTGGTCAGCCATTCACAACCATTAAATGTGCAAGTTAATGGAGCCATGATGTTTAACTTTCTGGGTATAGAATATCAGCATAGAAACAGGAACAGGTAGCTTGCATGGTGATAGCATCATTAGGAGTATCTTGTAGGAAAGATGGGCAACTCACAAGGCTTGAAAAGATAGTTACTGTACTTTAAGTAGGGTCCAGTGCTAAAAAGGAGATACAATTCAGAAACAGCTAAACATGGGAAAGTCTAGCCCTGCATTACTCACAGCCTGTCAGTCTTCAGTTCCAAGGAGTAGATAAGGGTTTTACATGCCAATTCATTTTATGAAGCTAGTGTTACCTTGACACCAAAGTCCAAAAAAGAGAATGCATAAAATAAAAATACAGGTTAATGTCACTCATGAGGACATACACAAAAATTCTAAACAAATTATTAAGACTTAGATTATTCAGAATAATATATCATTATTCTGAAAGAACAGTATCTTTTGAATATTCAGAAAAATATTCTTCTGAAAGAATATATCCATTTCCGCCCCAATAATGTATAGTTGGTTAAAACATAGGAATTTACCTATGTAATTCACCACATTAACAGATTAAAGGAGAAAAAAAATCCTACGATCATCTCAATAAATATACTACAAGTGTTTGATGAAAGTCAGCATATATCCAAGATAAATATTTTTAGCAAGCTAGGATTAGAATAAAACTTCCTTTACTATACAATAAACATGGTGAACTTTATAAATTTCCATTTTTTTTTATCAGGAATAAGACAACAATGTCCAATATTACCAGTTCTATTCAACATTGTATGGGGTGGGTCTGTCCAATGTTATAAAATGAGAAAAGTTACAATGTTTAAAACAGAGAAGCAAACTGTTAATATTCAAAGACTGTATGATTGTATATGTTGAAAACCAAAAAGAAGGGGGCGCCTGGGTGGCTCAGTGGGTTAAGCCGCTGCCTTCGGCTCGGGTCATGATCTCGGGGTTCTGGGATCGAGTCCCACATCGGGCTCTCTGCTCAGCGGGGAGCCTGCTTCCCTCTCTGTCTCTCTCTGCCTGCCTCTCCATCGGCTTGTGATCTCTTTCTGTCAAATAAATAAATAAATAAAATCTTTAAAAAAAAAACAACAGAGAAGCAAACTGTTAATATTCAAAGACTGTATGATTGTATACGTTGAAAACCAAAAATAAGGGGGCGCCTGGGTGGCTCAGTGGGTTAAAAAGCCTCTGCCTTTGGCTCAGGTCATGATCCCAGGACCCTGGGATCGAGCCCCAGCATCGGGCTCTCTGCTCAGCGGGGAGCCTGCTTCCTCCTCTCTCTGCCTATCTCTTCACCTACTGTGATCTCTGTCAAATAAATAAATAAAATCTTAAAAAAAAAAAAGAAAACCAAAAAGAAGCTAGACATGGACTTTCAAAATTAAAAAGCATATTTAGCAAAGTTGCTGGAGAGAACATCAATTTACAAATACATCTGTATATACCAGATAAATCACAATAATGAACAAAATGAACAAAGAAAAAAGGAGACAAATAAAAAACAGACTCTTAAATACAAAGAACAGACTGATGGTTGCCAGAAGAGAGGTGGGTGGGGGGGATGGGTAAAATAGGTAAAGGGGGTTAACAGTGTATTTATCTTGATGACCAGCAGGTGATGTGTGGAATTGTTGAATTTTTATATTGTATACCTGAAACTAATATAACACTGAATATTAATTATACTTGAATAAAAAAGACATATGAAAATTACAAAGTAGATGTTCAATAAATGTTCTCTCTCAGGGAAATAATAAATGAAGTGATATGATTTTCAATAGCATCAATGCTTAGAAATAAGTTTAAAAAATATTTGCATGATTCTTTGGAGAAAGTTGTAAAACTTTATTGAGAAAGTTTTAACAGTGAAATATCCAACATAAGAACAGTTTGCATGGTTTCAGCTTCTTTTAAGCTTCTTTTCAGCTTCAGTCTTCTTTTAAACCTGTGATTGCCCTTCATCTGTAAGGTAAACAAAACAGTTGGAAACATTACTTAGCAGAATTTTATTTATAGTACATTAAATGTATACAACAAACACTATAGTTTCGGTTTTATAAGATAGATTTCTAAGCATATATTTAATCAATATTTTTAAACATTACTCTTTCTCTGGGTACAAGGAAACAAAAAGGCTGTTCAAGTTCAGAATATAATAAATGAACAGAACTCAGGTCATGATGTCAGGGTCATGAGATCAAGACCATGTAGGGCTCAGCATGGAGTCTATTGGATATTCTCTTTCTCGCCCTCTGCCCCTCCCCCACTTGTGTGTTTGTGCTAAGTAAATAAAAAATATTTAAAAATAAATAAAATAAAAGCTTCCTCTTGAAATAACATTCTGGATATAAGATAACTAAGACAATGTCATATTTTTGCTGCTTAAGTGAATAGAAAGGCCAGTACTACATTTGTTTTGGCTCTATTGTGCTGAGGTCAAAAATGTTTTTTTGAGCTAGTTTGGCTCTTATGTGATTGGTAACCATTTGTCCCCATTTCCACCTATAATCCTACTCTGATTATGAATAATGCCTTTTTTTCACATTTGACCATTTGTATCATAAATTACATGGTCATACTGATTTTAAGTCATCACCATTGTTTCTGACATCAAAATGTGAAGCACATATATACCATGTCTTTATAGCATGATACAAAAATGGAGGGAATGAATTGAGGAGGGGAAAAAGGAAATGAATGAAGAAAGGGAGAGGAAGATACCTAGAAAAGTCAAACATTTGTTTCTAAAAGTAAGTGCTTTTCAAAAAACTTTTATTGAGGAATAATTGTCAAATATACTTGTATATACTTCAAGTGTACATGATGATTTTCTCCTACTTGTACACTGTGATTACCAAATAAACATGAGTAATTAACATATCCATCACTGCATATAGTTAACTTGTTGTGTGTGAGAATGTTTAAGAATGTTTATTCTCTCCACCTTTCAAGTATACAATCAATATCATATTATTCACTAAAAGTAAGTGCTTCTGAGGGACAACTCTGACAAACTTCATAAGTTTTCTCACAGTATCTGCAATGTTCAGATATTCACATACTACAGGGATATATAAGTTTTCCTAATATATCAATCATTTCATCCATACTTTAAAAATATTAAGAGTTCAAGAACATATTCACTTTCAATTATATAAAATACCCTTTATTAGTGTCTTGTTCATATTCCTTATTATGTACACTTCATTTTTAAAAATTTCTTCAAGATTATGTACACTAGAGGATACTCTTCATAAATATTTTTTAGAAGAGCAATCTTCCTGATTTATTAGTTGCATTACTTTCCCTTTTACTAATATTTCATACCTTTTATTAAGTACCTTTTTCCTTTTTGTTAGGTTTATTCCATTGCTTCTTTTTTTCTTGCCTTTTATATTGGATACTGATGTAATGTATTATCTAAGTAATAACATGCATTTTAAAGACTGTGATCTTCCTATGAGTACATTTTAGCCATGTTCAGTAGGCTCCCAGAAATAGTCTGAAAACTATTTTTTATATAAGTAGTCTAATGGAATGGTTCAGCAATGTAGACTAAAAAAGTTTAGGCCAATGAAAGGTAATTTCCTCTCTAAATACCAAATGTGTCATTTAAATTCAGAAGCTCTTATAATGGTCAATGATTAGAAAAACAAATGTATAAAATATGTTGATTACTTAGGAATTATTAAAGTTAAAGACTTTAAACTTCAAATCTTACAAATATATGTCTCAAGGCAGAAATTTATGTCACTTTTCCTATGATTACAGGTGATGTTATCATAGTGTTCACATTTTTATTAGGGACAGTAGCTCATGAAGACTGACGGGATAGTGAGTGTGCTTAGCACAAAGATCTTTTTTTTTTTTTTTTTTTTTAAAGGAGGTCCTACTTTTTTTTTTTTGTGGTCCTACCTTTTTTTTTAAGATTTTATTTATTTATTTGACAGACAGAGATCACAAGTAGGCAGAGAGGCAGGCAGAGAGAGAGGAAGGGAAGCAGGCTCCCCGCTGAGCAGAGAGCCCCATGTGGGGCTCGATCCCAGAACCCTGAGATCATGACCTGAGCTGAAGGCAGAGGCTTTAACCCACTGAGCCACCCAGGTGCCCCTAGCACAGAGATCTTAAACCCATCTTGAGCTTCAGTGATTACATGGATTTTCTCTACTTGATCTGCCACGGATACTAGAAACTTGACTCCCTCTTGCCATTTTCTTATGTAGTCATTTGAGGCTTCATTGGGAAAAAGGACTTAAAATGCAATTTTTTTTTAACAGCCAAAAGAAATCAGAATTTGATGGAATCTACCTACACCTATTTGGGTTTCCATATAGAAAAAAAAACATCAAGCAGTATTTACTCATTATCTTAGTAGCAATGAAATCTCAATTCAAATGTTAAAATTTGATGCCAGATGATATTTTACAATTGAGTCATGCAAAATAGCCTATCTTTGTATTCTATACATGCTGTCCAACAGAACCAGAGAATGTAAAAATCAGCATTAAAAGTTACTTTAATATATCTGATTTGACTTCACTAATTATACAGGAGTAAAGGTGAGTTTAGAAGTTAAGGGATTCTCCTGGAATCATACAAATTATGTTAGAGCTGGTGGTAGAACCTACTTTAGTGCCTCAGTATATTTTATATAAGCTGATATTTATTATAAATGGATTATGTATTTGTAAAAGTGGAAATTATGAAAGAATCTGAAAATTATCAGCTCTTGGTTAAAGTACTTACACTCAAAAGTAAGAAAATGTTTTTATATTTCATAATTCAATATGGCTTTGACCAAATTTGTTTCTAGATCTGATGGTCTATAAGTAAGGCAGTCAGGCACTTAGGGTCCAAATTACCTGCCAAATAATCTTTATTATATGAAGAATAATAAACTTGAATATCTCTTGTCACTTTCTTTTTTAGTCATTTGAGGCTTCTTTGGGGAAAGGATTTAAAATGCAACTGTTTTTATTTAAGTAATAATAATGTTATGTCTATATTATTGGTGATAAAATATTCTGAAAACTAAAACCACATACTTTGCATTCTTAATGGGTAACATACCTGCTTCTGGCATTTTAATGGGCTCTACATTTGGTAAATTTGCCCCTTGTCATTCAGACCATCTTTACCCTTACCCCAAGTCTTTGGCTCAGCCAGCTCCCAGAGATCAACTTCCACATCAGGCTCTTAAAAAAAAAAGTTAACAGGTTAAGCAATGAACATGAAATATAAATAAGGAAAAAATATTTATTCCTTCAGTTATATGAAATGAAATCCTGCAGGTTACTATGATGATAACTATGATGGAAGGAGAGACTTACATCTTTCTTTTCCTATATTATGAAAAACTATTTTAAATGACAATCTAAAGATAAACCATGCACACAAAAAGATAAACACACTACATTTACATTTCCATTATATCACAAGGATATTATATATCATATATATTTTATATATATATATATATATATATATATATATATATATATATATAAAATTATATCACCACCAAGAGTAGAGAGCATCAGCTATCTACAAAATCTGAAATCCACACTATGGACAGGATTTTAACTACAATAAAAAAGTAATTTTCTGAAGGATTCACTATGGGCATATTTGGGCTTATGACAAATCTTGTAGTCATGACACACAACCCCTTTTGGGGTAACCTGAAACTTACTTTATTAAAATTAACTAGCTATATTAAGGTACAAAGGTCCTATAAGTAATTTTTCATAAACAAGTCCTATTTAGAACAAAGTATCAAAAATACCATCAAAGTATTAGCAAAATTTCTGTCCTAAAATGAGAATAAAGGAAGTAGGTTGGAAGGAAATTAATGGGCTTTGCTGTCAGTCATATAGTGGAAATCTTTTAACAATGAATTGCTAAAATAATCCATGCCCTGAATTATGTAAATAATTGAGTATAAATGGTAAAAATACTATATTTAGAAGAAAGTTTTTGGTTGTATGGTAATTTTAAGGTACTTTTGATTTTCCTAATCATAGAAGTATTTAAACATCTTTTAAAAGCCAATTTAAAAATCATACTAATATATTTAATTATATGCCAGTATTCTACATTACCCAGCTATTACCAAGTTTACCAGATCAAACTAACAATAAAAGGAAATAGTGGCTATCATTTATTGAGCTCTCTTCTGGAGTCTTTCTCCTGCTCCACTGAACTGCATTTATTCCTGGGCCAGGACTGAGCTACTTTACAGTAAAGACATATTTGAATATTAAGCATTTTATACAAAGCAATTCACTTTTGTTTGTCTTTATTTTTTTCTTAAAGTTTGTATTTAAATTCCAGTTAATTAACAAATGGTATAATATTAGTTTCAGATGTAGAATTTAATGATTCATCACTTACATACAACATCCAGTGCTCATCACAAAAAAATACCCTCCTTAAGACCAATTACCTGTTTAACCCATCCCACCCACCACCCTCTCACCCCAGCCCAGCTCCCCTCCAGTAACCCACAGTTTTTTCTCTATAGTTAAGAGTCTGTTTCTTGGCTTGCCTCTCTTTTTTCTGTGTTCATCTGTTTTGTTTCTTAAATCTCACATGAGTGAAATCGTATATTTATCTTTCTCTGATTTAATTTGCTTAGCATAATACATTCTAGCTCCATCCACATCATTGCAAATGGCAAGATTTCATACACTTCTCATACAACAACATATGTGGTAAGAAGAACATAAATCTTGGAATGAAATATGAGTTATGCCTCCATGAGTGAAGTGCTCTTTGGCAAACCATGATCCCTGAGCCTGTTTTCTAATAAAATAAGACTACCATCCTTATGCAAAGAGGCTCTTATTCCAGGTGTTATATGTTGACTTGGCATGTGCTGTTAAAAGTTGCTTACACTTTTTTTAAATCATTTATGCTTTTGATGCAATGATTAAAAAGGTCACATAACAACGTTCTGAGGAAAACAAACTACTGAAATGATGTGCAATTTTTGTAGTTATAATTGAATACAGTTTCTTCTGTTTTGGCAAGGTCTGTATTTTCAAGCAAAAAAAAAAATCTTGTACAAAAAGCGCAAATTCATTATAGTGAAGACCACACAAAGCTGCGAATATTGTCTCCTCATATTTTCAGCCTACTTTCAGGAAAGGTTTGAGATAATCTGTTTTCCTTCCTCCTGTTACGATATGTCATAATGCATGATGCCCACATATGCCCCCAGCCCCCTTAAGCTTTCTTCTTCCCTTTCCCTTCACCTTGAGCCACAGGTCCTCCTTCAGCTTCCTTCCCTTGATCAGGTATAATATCCTGACTCGAAGGTGGTGCCTCCTTCTGTTTCAGTTGCTCATCACTGAGCTGCTGGGCCTAGAGGTGTGTGTGCATGCACACACATGGGCAAATAAAAAGTTTTGTTCTTCATACATGCCAACAATATAAATCATAAAATACACAGATATATCTAGTCATAAATAAGTATAAAGGCATTTTTAAAACCAGGTTCTATAAACTTATTTTTAATGAAGTTACTCTTCCCATAGACTACTCAAGAAGAAATACCAACAAGGACTTTGGAGGCTACTTTAAATTATACTGGGATAGATGTGTGCAGTTTGTTGTTAAAAAAACATGGGAAAGAAATCCCAGGGTATATTTCCATAGGAAACACCCCAATGGAATTCTCCTAGATCAGTGTTTCCCTCCCATTATCACCAGAGAAAACTTATCATTGTATCCATAGTAGTTTAGCAAATTTTTCAAAAAAATAAATTTCTGGTAATAGAAAACATCAAATGTTAAAGTACTCACAACCACAGTTTCAATTCCCTGGGAACACTTTTGATCATTTCTTCTTTGTTTAGATTTGGATCTTGGTTTTACATGCCCACTCATAATTCACCCTGAAAGTAGAATATTGGTATTTGGAAAATGTATCTAAGAGAATAGTTATACCACTACCGTGGCTAAATATTTTCTTTTAATTTTTTTTAACTTTGAAGATATTTTTATTTAAAAAAAGATTTTATTTATATATCAGAGAGAGCGAGCGCGTGCGCACACACGAGCGCACTCGCCAAGCACAAGCCCTGGGAGCAACAGAAGGAGAGGGAGAAGCAGAATCCCCACCCAGCAGGGAGTCCGATGTGGGGCTCCATCCCAAGACCCTGGGTTCATGACCTAAGCCAAAGGCAGACGTTTAACTGAATGAGCCACCCAGGCGCCCCCAAAATACTTTCAAAGCCCCAGGATATATGGCTGTTTTCACACTACAAGGGCAGAGATATTTAGTGTCAACACCGATTAAACGGTCCTCTCCTCCCCTGCACTTCGCACGTACACCACAAATCTCAGAAAGCAGTTACAACCCCACAGCATTCCCCGTTTCTAGACCCTTTTTTTCTGCCCATCTGGCTGGCTCCCTGCCCAGGGCCCCAGTGAGGAATCCAGCTTCCGCGCTCTGCCGGCAGTTCCAGGTACTTTCGGGACCCAAACACCTCAAATAATAACCCCAAGGCGCACCCCCATCTTTATCTGACCCGTTCTCTCTGTGTCTCACGTTCCTCCCTTGCCCGCCCTCCCACCCCCACGCCGACTAACAACCGCCATGACGGTCACAACGCCTGTGAGAAGAATGGCGACCAACAGAAAACCTTCCTTCCTGGAGGCTACCGATTGTGCCACCTGGACTTGCCCGAAGCCCAAGACCACCCCCTTTACACTAAATCACACTTAAGATTCCTGGAAAAACTGATTTGTGGACCTACCAGGAGCGTCTTCGACAGAAAGAACCAAGACGTACGGAACACGACGGCCTCCGCCTCAGCTCTGCTCACAGAACACTGACTGCAAGGCGCATGTGCAGCAACTGACATGCACAGCAACGGGCATGCGCACTGACTGAGGCACGTGAAATGTGGGTTGAGGTTTGCTAGAGGTTGCCACTGAGACTCAGAACCACGCGAGAACAAGGCCTCCCGACAACAAGAAACAGGGCTTTTTCTTCCCGTCTAGTCTTTCCTGTGCATCCAGAAACTTTGGAGACAGATAACCCCAGGTTACCCTCTGTGAAGAATGTTTCTCAGAACAACGTGACAGAAATGGATGTTTTTATTATTTTTATACATGCTTTGATTAATCATTTCTTTGTTTCTGGGACTCTGTCATGCTCAGTCCACTGTCACATGGTGTACAGGGGTGGTGACTATGCTCCTCATATACTGTACTTAAAAATATCAGCCAATTTGCTAAGTGAAGGTGACTTTATTACATAATAGTGTAAGGGAGAGCACTTCCTGGACTGAGGCTTAGTAGAGTCCTGCAGGTGGCAGGGCAGGAGAGATATTTATTCAGATTTCGAAGTTGATGTAGAGCAGGTCTACAAACGTCAGGATAAAGTGTAGTTAATGTATGTTAATCATAATAGAATGGTTTGGATTTAGAGAATGTGGTGAGGCAAGAATTTTAAGACAATGGTTCAAAGAGTCATGAGGTTGAAAAATGTCACTTGGCACTTTTTATTGAAGAATTGATGGGTCTAGTAAAATTCCTGGACTGAATAAGAGTTATTTCCCATTTTTATCTTCTTGGGCAAGAGATTCCTGGATTAGTGAATTTATGTTGAGGAACCCAGTGGAGTATGAACTCTTATTAACATAAACAAAGAGCTATGTGCAGATTTCCTTTCTTATTATTTTTACATAACTTACCAGTTTTCTGTGAGAAGTAGTATATGGAAGGAAAGGTCAGGAAGGGGGCCCTAATCGGAAAGTAGCATTTTGAAAATAAATTAGGATGTTTTGGTGAACTCTTATGTATTCTATCCAGTTAGGCTTCTTTTATTTTAATTTTTAATTTTTTAAAAGATTTTATTTATTTATTTCACACACACACACACACACACACACAGAGAGAGAGAGAGAGAGAGAGAGAGAGAGAGAGAGAAAGAGAACAAGCAAGGGGAACAGCAGTGGGAGAGGGAGGAGCAGGCTCCCTGACAAGTAGGAAGCCAAATGCTGGGCTTGATCCCAGGACTCTGAGATCATGAGGTGAGTGGAAGGCAGACACTTAACTGACTGAGCCACTCAGGTGCCCCAAAGCTTCTTTTAAAGAAATACCATGAGTGGGGGTAAAGTAAGTCTCAGTCTTTCTCCCCATAAAAAGCAGATTGAATAGGAATTGTGTTTCTTCAAAAAAAAAATTTAGGACTGAGACTAATCATAATCCTTGGTCTTTCATTTATATTTTATTTTTTATCCTTTTTGACAATCTCAGCAAGGACACCATCATTACCAAATTTAACTTGCTTTTTTTTCTGTTAATACCTGTTGTTAATGAGGGCAATCAAGTGCTCAAAGAATGGGAGATTGTGATTTCTGGACTTTCTGGATTTATGTGATCACATAACCAGCAAATGGTCAAATTCATGCCATCAAATGGCTAGACAGCAATGGTTCATGAGGATCTGGGCTTTGATTATTCCCGAATTGTTCAGTGCACTTCAAAAGGCAGAGGTTTGCCAATCTTTAGCTTTCTCTCACCATTCCTGTGGGAGATAACTGCTGCCCAACTTGTTATAAGGCAGTGACTGGACTTGGATGAAAGCTAGTCTGTGAAGCAGCTCTGGTGACACACAGGAAACAGCAGAAAATATGAAAGACATAGTAAAGACAAGAATTGCCTGATGCCTGACTCTAGGAACTCTCTCTGGGCTGCTAAGCAAGGAGTTAGGATTTGGGACTCCCAGCAGCTGCTCTACCTGTGGGAGTGCTGCAATTTCCCACATGACAAGAGTGTCCTTTCTTTCAAGCAGGAGAATCTAGGGAAAAAATTAAGTTTTTTAAATTAATTTTTTAATAAACATATAATGTATTTTTAGCCCCAGGGGTACAGGAAAAATTAAGTTTTAACAGGCCCAAGGGTGAGATTGGGGGGTGGAGCAAATTCTACAGATTCAGGGAAGCTGTCATTTTCCAGAGTAACATAAAGAGCTGGAATCTAAGCTCAGACTGCTTGGTGGTTGAGGTCAAATTATGTATTACTTATCACGTGAAATGCAACTCTCACACTTGCTTCATAAGATACACAGAGGATAGGTGCAGTAGGATATGGAGTCCTTTTGATACAGCCAAGCAATGCATACAGTCTTCACAAGACACCAAGAGAACAAGAGGCTGTAGGCACCTGCTGACACTTAAAAAGAAGAAACAGGTAACATGAATACCTTTTATGTATTAAGGGAATTTTCTAAAAAACAAAGAAAGAAAACAACAAATCAAAAGGCTTTTCTTCAAGTAAAACCCAAGGCTCTTACGGCTTCACTGGTGTGCTGGTCCATTTTATGTGTCAGCTTGATTAGGCTAAGGGATGCCCAGGTAGCTTGTAAAGTATTATTTTTTGGTGTGTCTTTGACAATGGTCCCAGAGGAGATTAACATTTAAATCAGTAGACTGAGTAAAGAAGACTGCCCTCTTCAATGTTAATGGGCATCATTTAATTTGTTGTGGTCCTAAATAGAACAAAAAGGTAAAGTAAGAATTTGCTCTCTGCTTCAGCTGAGACATCCATCTTTTGCCCTCAGAAATCAGTGTTCCTGGTTTTTAGGCTTTTGGACTCAGACAGTGACTTAGGCCATTGGTCAGTCCCATGATTCTCAAGTCTTCAGACTCGTACTGAATCACAGCACGGACTTTCCTTTTTCTCCAGCCTGCAGACAGAAAATTGTGAGATTTCTCAGCCTCACAATCACAAGAGCCAATTCCTATGATATTTTCGTATTTACCTATATCTATCTATATCTATATCTTATTGGTTCTGTTTCTCTGGAGAACACCAACTAATGCACATTTTGGTACTGAGAGTGGTTTTAGAGGAACTGAATCTTAAAGATGAGTTTTCTGAATGGATTCTTGAGTTTCTGGAATTGACTGTTTAGTATTACTAGATTTAAAGAAGTTAATGACTCTATTTTCAGCAGTAAAGAGAGATAGTCCATGAACTGTTTATAGAGATATGCAAAATATCTGCAGTGGATACTCCTAAGAAAGAAGGAGCTAAGTGACTCTGTATATGATATTTAGAATATTTTTTGAAAGATAAAAAATATAAGGACATCGGTTGGTTTCTCCAAATGTCCCTGGACAAAGTAGTAAGAGAAAAAGATGAGCTGAAGGATTTGAATTCTGAGTAATAAATGTCTTAAGTTTTTCTATTTGTGCCCTGAAGGAGAACCTTATCTCCTGTAGAAACAGGGTTGAAATTGCTGAAAATCAAATGCTGAATCTTATCCTTTAATTGGCTGAATTACAATGGAAGACCTAGCCTTGCAGGGTGTCTACTGTTGAAGTAAGGGAAATTGATTGGGAAAGAAGGTGATCCTGTAAATTGGAGTAGGAACGTGTAGGAAGGCCTTGATAAAGCTGTTACATTGAGCCCCTAAATTCTGACAAGTCTTATTTGCCAGTAGATGATTTCTCCCCATGGCCAGTGGAATTGGTCTCCCCATTCCCAGTGGTAGCCTCCCCACCCACAGTAGTATAGCTTTTTCACCTGTGTCTGAGGGTATTAAACTTGCATTGCCTAAGCAAATGGTAAGAGCCCCCAATGAGGCAGTTTTCATGCATAACAATGCTGATTGTCCTCAGGACCCACTTGCCATCACTCTTCTATACTTTTAGACCTATAACTAAACTCACATCCCAGTAGGCCCCTAAAGGTGAGGTACTATGTAACCCATGAGGAGGTGAGCTGCATGGCAAAAGAACTACTTGAGTTTATGATTTATACAGACAGAAATCTGGAGAACATGTGTGGGAATGGATACTAAGAATATCCATGGAATATGGAACAATGGTGAAATGAACATAAAGTTGGCTCAGGCTAAATTTATTGATATG